ATATTATATATATATATATATATACATGGACACAGCTCGAAAAATTAAAGTAAGTGTAAATTAGTTTATCGCGAGAAGGGAGAAGCGTTTAAAAGACACACAGGGTCTTCAAAGTGCGGTGACAAAAGTCTTCAGGATAGAACGTTAACGGTAAGAGAACAAGTTACAACCGGAGATTTAACTGAAGGAGTAGGGGGATAACGAGATAACGAGTGATCCAAACGGCAAAATATTGCAATATTTAAATAAATATTAAAATAAGATAAATCAAATTGGATAATATTCAAAATGGCTTCAAGTGCCAAAATACTGAAAAAAAAGAAAAGAAATTTGCGAAGATCATACTTTACTTTTATATCAAAGAATCATAGGATTATTTGTTTCTTTCTTGAATAAGATTGCTTTGATTCAACTCTTTTAAGTTGCGTTGATCGCCGTTCGATCGATTGTTATCTTGATCCTTTGAGCACGATTAGGCGAAGAGAACTCGAACGAGGGATTTCTTCTTCTGCGTACGTCTCGACATACACAGGTCGCCTGAAAACACGCGTGTTATTCATTGGTATGCCTGTTGATTGAATGACTCCGCGATTTTCTTGCCTGTTCTTATTTCCACGATTCATGCCAATTTCAAGAACGAAAGCGTGACGGAGACGAGACGGAGGACGAGACGAATGAACAGACGATAAGTCAACTCGTCAATCGTCTTAGCTTCGTGATTTTTGTCAACGAGAAAGAAATGAAGGAAACAGTTCGATCGGTCCTTACGTCTCGAGCTCTCGATAGATTTCTTATTTTAAGGGGAAGTACGAAGAGGCCTCGATGATGCAGCCGCTATCAAATTTTTTCAAGTAGTATTGCGACTGTATGATTACCGCTATGGCCATCTAAAATGGAGCAAAATTTTTTTAGGTGATAGAGAGAGAGAAAGAGAGAGAGAGAGACATAGCAAAATGGAAATGTGTCGTTAGAAACGACACCTCTCGAGACGGGACATCTTCGTAGTTGAAAGTGTAGGATATGTTTTTTGTTTCTTCTCGATTATAGCACGCGTACAAAGGACGGCTAAATTACGTAAAAACACTATAAGTCAGCGAGAGTTGTAGAAATTAACTAAGCAGTAGTCGTTAAGGCGATGAGAAGCGTTGCTTAAGGGAGAAGAGAATAGAAGGGAGAAAAGGCACGATCTTGTAATGAGAGAAGTGTGAGTAGCGGTAAAAAAAACTTTTGTAGCGTCTTAGAACGTCGTGTAATAACTCCTTTCTAATTAAGCCTCCACACTTAAGTAATGTGTATAGTTAAATGACAATCACTCGACTCTCTGTATCGACAATTGACGAAGGGAATCTCGGAAAAGCCGTGATAAGCTGCCTACGCACCGAAACCCCTTTCTTCGTGTTCCCTTCTTTTTCTCGGTCCTTCTTACTCCCCATTCGCAACAAAACCTTTTCCATGTTCCGATCGTGGACCTTCTTTCTTCGAGAGACTTTCACCGAGCTGGCGAACAACTAGGCGCGAATTTACAAGCTAACAAGCCAGATCTGTAAATAAAAGAAGAAAATTTAGATCTAAGATACGTTGATTCGTCTCTGACTCGCGTCGTTACCGCGATTTGTTTGTCCAAAAGTGTCTAGATATGTAACTAAATCGATGTTTCTCTCGCAAAACGATTATATAATTGTTTGATGAACAGTTTTATGTCT